TTTAATCAAATTTTAAGCAACTTGATTTGAACAGATGGTTCAATTAGACTACCTCTAGTCAGCCTTTCTCATGGAAATGATTCTATGATTCAATGGAAGCACAGTTTTAAAACTAGCTACACATGAGATAGTCTTCAGAATTTTTTTTCCTGGAAAAGAAGTCTAGAGGTAGAGAACAGGACTATTAAAAATGGTATGCCAGACTCTGAAGATTCATCAAAACTGGTTTGAACAATGAGGATAAAAGGACACTCTTACTTCTCGTTACTTTATACTCAGGCAAGTAAACTCATTTTCTGCTTCCTCCAAAGAATATTCATGATGAACTAAACAAGTGAATACAACTTAAGTCCCAGGCTTCTGATAGACTTCTGACAATTCACTGGCAGCACATAACTCATAATAACAAAAACACAACAATAACATAACAGCTTCTCACAGCGAATTCATAACCATTCTCTGCTCTACCTTGAAATCACCATATAGATACATTAAAATTAGATATAAAAATAAGGAGTTTCAGGCCATCTTTGTGCAATTAAAGTGAGTTGCAATGAGAAAAAAAACTCCTTTCACACTTCAGTGTTACTGTCTGAAATTGTCTTCAGAAGCATTTAATCTCTGGATCATGCTGAAACTGGGGCCACTGTGAGAAAACATCTTTCAGCTCACTGGAATGCAGTTCTGCATGGCCAAGATGGGAGGGAATAAAAAGAAATGGAAGAAAACAGTGGATTAAAAAAGCACTGCCATATGAGTAACAGTTCATTTGACACCTTAACCAACAAAGACGGGGAGATGAGAAGGAGAAAAACTCAAATGAAACAAAAAGCCCAGGCAAATAATTCAGTTTTCTATGTCAATTGGGCTGGGAGAACATATCTGGTAGATTCAGCTTTAGGGAATTTTCTAATCAGCTCTCAGGTATTTTGGAAGGTTTTAAAGAGCAGCAGGCAGAGCGGGCCCTGATATGAGCACCAATGCATTCTGTATAGCACACTGCAGGACAGTGAGCTGAGACCAAAGATTTGGGGAAAGATTAGACCTGGACAGTTCACAACACAGAGAACTCAGTTTTGATACTGCAGATCATTGTAGATACTTTCAGTACTAGAGGAAGATTAGAATGAAATGTTAGGGTATGTTGAGCTCTAATGCTACACTAAACATTTAAATGATGGAATGCTTACATGGATATTTTAAACAAACAAACAAAAATCAATCTTATCAGAAGAGGTGAATGGAGGTGGCACAGGGGAACAAAAAGGACTGAATGGGAAAGGAGGAGAAAGAGCTGAACCATAACCCAGAATAAAGATGTCATTTTAACACAGGTGAGTCAGACAGTTTCCTACAAAGCTGCATAACTGCTTGTGCCAGCAAAGGGAAGGTGCAAACAGGAGCAACAGGAGTGGTAGTGATGGTTTCTTCCAGCCTCAGGGCTGCTTTGCCACTTTACAGCTCTTAAGCTCATCTTAAAAAATGTAGGCAAAACTACAGCCTAAAGGCCCGGCTTTTTAGCAGCCCAAGCTATTATTCAAACAACTTTATAATGTCTCCACTATGATTCTGAAAAGGTGCATTAATCATCTGGATTTGTGCCTCTACTGATTTACTGTACTAAGTAAACTGTAGGGTCCCTGTCCCCCCATTGCTAACCAAGAACTGTATGAGGATTCTTCATAGTCTAACAACAAAACTAGGAAATATTAAACCAGTATTAGTTCTGCTCTCCAGTATTTCCTTGCCTGTTCTACCACTCATAGTAATTTCTTGTTCCACTGTAAACACAAAGGAAACATTCCACTTGCAAGCCATTTAAAAATATAAATGGTTAATATTGCCTCTCCTTTTGAATTGTACAAATGGACCTAGACCATCAAATCTCACCAGGTGACTCACTAACCTTTTCCTTCAGCTATTAAAATGTTACATCTCTAAATTATGAGCTATGTTACTTCCTACTATAAAAATAGTTAAAACCAGAAATTGAGGATTTCCTATATATAGACACCTCTTCACACAGGGACTAAAAGATTCGCTCTTCAATTATTTCTGATATTTCAATCAAAACCTCTAGGAAAGAGACTTATTCTTCAGCAGACTGATTGTACATATCTAGAAAGAGAAGTAAAACAGTGAAATCATTAAAACCTGTGGAAAATTAATGAGGAGTAAAATCTTCTCCTACAAGGGGGTCACACAGACCGAAACACAGAACAACCACATAAGCAGACTGTGCTTAAGTCTCAGAGATGCCATGGATCCCAAAAGACAGAAAGATGCCCTTTAAAGGAAAAAAAAAAAAAACAACTAAAAAAGCATTTTACATGCTTCATCACTAGACATTCTCCCTGATTGGGTTGGTTTCTTAGATAATCTGGTCTGGATTTTTGCAGTTAGTTTTCTTCCAACACCAGCTTCAACATCCCACACCACAGAGATTCACAACCATTTGTGTTATGAACACGACTGTTCAGTGCTGAGCAAGCACTGAAGGAAATCCAACAATTCAAGTCTAATGCAAATATTTAGATGTATTTTACGCAACTTTTTCATGAAACTTTTTTACAGAGACAGCTTGAAATATAATGCCAATTGGTAGGGAAAAAATAATTCTAAAAAACCTGCACAACCAACAGCTTTGTCATGAAGTTAATGGCAGTAAAGCCAAAAGTAGTCCTGGCCATCCATCATAAGGACCAAAAATAAGATTATCTAAAAATCACAGACTAATTCAGGTTGAAAGGGACCTCTGGGAGTCAGCTGGTCCCAAGATTAGTTTGGACACTGAAGTTAAGCATGTTGCTTGAGAGTTTGCACAGCTAATTCTGAAAGTCTTCATGGATATGAAAGAATCCATGAAAGAATCCATGAAAGAAATGCTGCTACCCTTGGAGCCTTAAGCAGGTGCCTTCGGCAGCTGACTGGGGTCTGGGGTTACTTTTGCCCAGCTGTAAGACTTGGCATCTGCTTTTAAGACTTCATGACAACCCCATCTGGCTTTTATCTGTGAATAGAGACGTTACTCAGACTTCATTTTAATGTTTTTAGTACTTTACTGAAAAATTCCAATTGAAAATACTTTGTGATGATTGAAATCCACACAAGCACACACAAGTGTCCAACTCAAAACAAACAAAAGGAATTCCAAAACATTTCCCCAACAAGGACAAATTAGAATCAGTTTTAGGTTCTAACATCTGAATTCTCAGTCTCTTAAAAAAATAAAAATAAAGGGGAGGGCAGGAAACCCAAGTTTACTGGCAACTAAACACCTGAGCAAGTTCTGTGCCTGGCATAAGCCTGAATACAGTGATTTAAAATGACTAAAGGTGTCTTCAGTGGACATTCTTCATTTCATTTGATTGGAGAGCTCAGTTTCAACTTTATTGCCCATCTGTTTTGGTGACTTGACTACCAGAGCCAAGAATTAACTTGTCAAACTAAGTGTTTGGGCAGCAAATAGGTATTATTCTATTTAGATACTGTAACAGGTGCCTGTATTTCTACTGTGTTGCCTAGTTAGTCAGTAAAATTAAAATATCTCCATACAACACAATTCCTGAAAACTTCAGAGGTCAGAATTCAAATATCAGGAACTGCAAGAACCTTTCATGAATGTCTTTACCAGCCACTTGACACATGGCCTAGATCAGGAACTGTGGCAAATATAAGTGTGCTGACTAAAAACTGTAGCATTTGTTTCAAGTACTTACAGAAAGGGAAGTAACACACATCAACTTCTTTAAATTCACGTTTAATTGAATTGTATAGGGGTTTTTTTAAGGCAGGAAAAGTTATCAATCCAAATGTGTTATTCTGCCAGTTAAAAACAACCTGGAAAAGACACTCAGTATGAAAAGTTTAGCTTATCTGAGTAGGTTAATGTAGGTTTCACAGACATTTTTCTACCCTAATTATGACACCATGTACACATCCGTTTTTAAAGAAGAAGCTCAGAGGAGTCATTTCCTCTTAGTAATAAAGTAATATGCCAAAATACACGTCTTCTGAACCAAAACCATTTTTCACCTCCTTTCAGTTCTAGTGGCCAGGTATCTTTAATTCCCAACTATGCATTCAGGTGTACTTCCAGTTACTCCTGCAGAATCACATTCACATAATCACACAGCATGAGTAAAATCTGCATCAGATATATGCAGTTTCTCCCCAGCTGCCAACCTCTACAAGAATACTTTTAAAGATTTTACAATCTGATGCAAACAAATTGACAGAAAAATGATTCCTTTTCCCATCTCAAGCATGTGAAGTAGACAGAAATGAAGAGTTGTACTGTATCAGTATATAAATGTTTGGGTATCTAGTAGTAAAAGGTGCAATCCCCAGTCCCTGTGTTAGGTAGCAAAGCTTCTTTTATTATAAATGAGACACATGTCTCAGCCTAGAATTCACAAAATCTACAAGTTAACTAGAAACTGTGAAGAAAAGATGTATCTGAGATCCATAAATTGAAGACTCATGCAATTTTGATGGATGATGGAACTGCAGTACAGGACAAATATTAAAATACTGACAACAACAATATCAAAGTCAGTCAGAAAGCATGAGGAATAAAAAGTTACAGACAAAAAAAATTGTATTTTCAAATTCCCTGGAAGATACAAGCAGGGCTTTGACTTTTGCCAGCAAATAAGGGTTTATATGTAATTACATCTAATCTAGACCACTCCCTGCTCAAAACCATACCCAGAATACACATCAGCCAAGAGAAACATCTGAAGCCCATCTAAATTTCACAAGGTACAACTGATTCTAAGGTGGAAGTTGCTTCAATAAGAATCCATAAGAGTCCATTACCAGCTGATCAACTGAAATTAGTATGGAGTCACTGATTTATTTTTTAATACAACTGTAACAAAATTAAATACAATAATAGTCTAATAAACATACTGACTTCATGGGGGGAAAAAAAACAACAAAAACAAACCAACAACAACTAAACAACCTCCCCCCACCAAAAACCCTGTAATACTCACTCCAAAGAACTTTTCCTGTTTCAATCTGACTGTGTAGCGAAGATACTTCTATTAAACATCATTTTCTTACTATTACCCTTGTTTCTTTGTAGGATTCCACAAGATGACCTAAATGTGACCTAAAAAAGCAAAACATGACATAATGTAAATGACCAAATGAGAAAATCAGCAATTTATAGTTGGTTTATACACTCCATCAACTTTTTATGCAGAAATACCTAATTTATCACACATTTTCAATGTCTTCAAATACTACAGCACCACAGTTCCATTACACAATCTAACAACTAAATGAATGTCAAATCTGCAAACCCTCTGCTAACAGAAAGAAAAAAAAGGAAAGGAACTAATAACTAGAATATGCCATTTATTCTAATAATATAGGTATTGTAATAATGAATTAGTCAAAAACATATTTAGCTACTACAAATATTTTTAAATTTTTGCACACTCAATTTGGATCAGACCAACAGACACTCAGTGTAGCTAAAAAAAAAAAAGCCAAGAGAGTTGCCTTCATTAAAACTGTTTCAAATCCCTTGAGCACCAAGCAGCACTATCAGTTTGCACTGATATTATCTACAGGTTTGCAGGCCAAGCCACAAAGCACAAGGCACGTAGCTACGCTCCTCTGCCCATAAACAATTATTTTTCTAAACCATACTGAGTAGGCCCCACTGTGCTTGTAAGAACTCAGCACAGTGACCAGGAGTGAGGGCTGCCAGTGCCCCTGGCCCACACAGAGCAGAACTCCTCCAGGAATTGGAGTGTAGAGCACTCTGAGGCAACTCAGATTCTTCAGTGGCTTTGAGGGAAAAACAGTTGCTGCCCTACCTGCTTAAGTCTGGAAAAAATTCAGTTGCTGCTCCACACATAACCTTTTGAAAACAACCTTATGGTGCATAAAGGTGTTGCTCTGAAATAGGTTCATTCACCCCATATGCAAGAAGCCAATCCACACACAAAGTTGAGGTATTTGATTTGTTTACCAAGGTACGAACTAGTTCAGAAACTTCTCATGGTTAAAGTCTAAGAGCCTACAGCAGGCAACAGGCAAAAAGAAAGGCTAGAGGAAAACGAAGGCAGTCCCAGGTGATTTGGAAATTGCAAGGACAAAGGTACGGTGAAGTACCAGCCTGGAATTCAGATTTTACAGCCATGTCAATATTTGTGTTTGTGGAATCAGAAAAATCAGAATCAAAAGCTCCTGGTCAACAGGCAGGAGCTTGGGAGGGGTGTGAAATGCATCATGCTATAGCTAGGAGTCATTACTTGCACAACTTCCACCTGAGGAAGCAATCTTGCATGATCTGTGGCCCCTCAAACAGGGGACAGACACAGTGTAGGACTGAAGTACCACAGCCTGTGGCAGAAGTAGGACACTATTTTAACTAAATTGGACATCCCAACTTTCTAGAGGTCTCTGGCTAACACCTGATGACAAATCAGATGGTGGGAGACCAGAAAATATCTAAGGTCCATAAATCATACACATTTAACAAAACAGTACATCATAACAGCTCCTGTCCCAGTTCCTGTGTTCTCCTTAGTCTCTTGCTAGATTTCTGCTCACCTCCCTACAGCTCCCAGTCCTGTTTCTCCTCTTCTCACAGCACTTTGTACCTCCACTGCAGGTCAGACATGGCACTGACAACAGGTTTCCTGCTGGTCCTCTAGAGCCAACTGTAAGGGAACTCCCGGCCCTCCAGATCTTAAAAAAATACTAAGATATGCAGACAAATTGCCCACTACTGTATTCAAGCACAAGAAACAAATCCTTCATTAGAGGATGGCTGTGCAGCTTTATTTTCCTTGCTAACCAACCTTCCTTACTTTTCAGACCAGCAGGACAGGGGTTAAGAGAGGTGGTATCAGTGCACTGCAGATCACACCAGGGCCAGTCTCTCACAGGTCAGCCTTTCATATGCTGGGAACACCTCTACTTTCAAACTCTACCTTCAAACAACTGAGTGGAGAATTTTTCAAAGACTGGTGACTGTATCAGTCAACAGACCAAGGTACAAACTCTGCTGGCCATAAACAGCCAGTGAGGACTCCAACCACAACAGAAATGTGCCAGCATGATCTCTGGGAAGAGTGTAAAAGTCAGAAAGACTGAAGGCAACTGCCTCAAGTGGTGAACACAAACTGGACTCTAATGAGCACGTATCTATTCTCCATTGCATCTCTCTGGGGAATGTGGTAAAAATAGAACTGTCACCTGGCCATTACCAACAGGGCCTCCTTCATGGGTCTGTTGACTGCGAGCTCAGTCAAAAACACAACACAAAACCACCTTGGGCACTTGCCCTTGGGTCCACACCCATATCACTTCTACTGACAGTACCCACCAAGAAATCCTATTCTACTTCAGCTTGCAACTTCAGCATGAGAAACTGTATTTTGCAAAATAATAATTTTTGTGAATCCTCTAGTTACACCTTTATTATACAGATACTTCTAGATAGACCCTTATTACATAGATACTGGGTTTATGTAAATCGAAACTCTTTTTCTCTAAAACATTAACAATCTTATGAAGTAATTCAGGCATTGTCAAATTGTGTGGTGGCAATCAAACTACAGTTCTCCATCTACCCTCTATGCTTCTCTATGTCCACAGAAACACTTATGAATGCAAGACCAAAAAAAAATTGTACCACAAGTAAAGAAAGGGGAAAATGTACAAGAAACTTTTGCCTAAAACTCCCATGTGGCATCTAATGTTAAAAGAGAAACAATTACAAGCCAAGGAAATAGGCCACTCACAAAGACAGGGAAAAAGGGGGAAAAAAAGGAAAAAAAAATTAAGCAATGTAAGATACTACATAGAAATTAGTAGGCTAATTGTGGCCCTATGGTCTTCTACCCTATAACAATTTCTAGACCCATCAGACAGGCTGCTCTGTGAATTCTGCCTGAGCACACAAGGAATCATTTGCTGGAGAGGATACTCCAGGTTTCTTTAGGATAAGGAACTCCGAGTGGGTTGAATGACATGACATAGCAGTTTCTTGAGTACCTCTGGCTCTGGAAGAATGCACTGAGGAGGACATCAGGAGAGCACTAGCAGATGTTTAGGAAAGTGATACACAGAGAAGGGCACAATTAGGGTATTTCATAGCTTTTGGTTCACACCTCTGGCTGCCTCAAAGCTGTCAAGCATTTCATGCTCTCAACAGCACCGAAGACTGGACAAGTGAGTGTCAAGCTAAATTAGTTGCTACAGCATCCAACTGGCAACGAAAACCCTCACTATTTCACCAAGTCTGAGACAAGAAAAAGATTAACCATCAGTAAATACACCAAACGTCTTCAAATTAAAAAAATACTGAAAAATATAAATCAACTCGGTCTCCTTAAATCTTAACTGTCAACCATAGGCACAAAATTCTTCAAGAACATTCACGATCAGTAATTAAGCCATTACAACCCAAGTCCAGCAATTAAAACAGCGAGGAAAAGACAAAACTTGCAGCAGTGCTAAACCACAGCAACCTCCAGCTTCCACCTACTGTATATCTGAGTGCATATTCGAAAATGTGAGTTAAAGCCTAGATCTGAAAAAAAACATTCCTTATGTATTACACAGTGTTGTGTTCAGACTGATGCAAACAGGAGGACTGTACATAACAACCATCCTACTCATGCAGTGCCCAAAGTCTCTTCAACAGCTCAGACCAGTTTTGGCCTTTTAAAGGTGGCACTTATTTCTGCAGTAATATCAAGAGACAAAATATCTTACTGACCATGGACAGCACACTGTTACACACACAGCAGCATTCTTCTTTGTGTTCTGCTTTCACAGGTGTTGGTGGTTGGTCAAAAAACCATAATATCCTTTAAATAAAAAAAAAAAAAGTCAAGCTTCTCTGAAATGTGAGACTCACCTATCTTGTACAAAATCTTCTAACTAAAAGAAAACAGGCATAGAGCTACAAGCTCTCATCACACAATAATAGCCACAGAAACAAACAAGGTAGAGATAGAAATTGCAGAACACCAAGTTGTAAGCCAAAAGAGTTCAAAACAAGAGAACTAAAAACCAGTTTACAGCCTTCCTTATTCCTGAAGATGGACAAAATGGAGACCACAAAGCATTTTCTTGAATAGCTAAACATATGGGTCAGTGTTATTTTTTAAGTTAAATAGGTAAGTTAGAAACATGATTTGAACCTAAATTCAATCACATATCTTCAAAAAGAAGAACTCAGTATCATAATTATACTTATCCAGTGGGCAATTCAGAGCAGGAGCTCAGTACTCAACTACTGTGAATCACCTGTAATGAAGCCTTGTTCCCTCTTCCCATGAGCCAGCCTCACAAAGCCATGGTTCACCTCTGAAATCCCCTTCAGTGCCCAACAGGCTTGTTTAAAACAAATTTATACTCACACAATCACACACTAATATGCTTTACAATAAATCTTTCTTTTTTACTTGGTTATGTATTAGAGTAATGCTAACAGACTAATCCATCTGTTCTAGAACAAGCAGCAGTCACAAGTATTGAGGCCATGTTGCTGAGAACACAGCTGGGATGGGCAGGGCACGTCTCAAGGATGAAGGACCAACCACCCCCTCCCTAAGATCTTGCTTTATGGTGAACTTGCCACCAGCTGCTGCAAGAGAGGAGCCCCGAAGAGAAGATACAAGGACTCCCTGAAACAACATCTCAGCCTGGGCCATATTGATCAACACAACTGGTCTGCTCTGGCCTCCATCAGGAGATCTGCAGACACAGCATCTATAACGCTGCTGATGCCTTTGAGAACACACGCAGGGTCACTCTGGAGAAGAAAAGGCAACGCAGAAAGAATCATGTCTTGCAGAATTCACCACCTAAGGAGTCTTTCTGCTGTGCCTTTTGCAGCCGGACGTGCCTGTCTCATATTGGCCTTTTTAGCCACCAGTGTGTTTGTAACAGTCGTGGGTAGAGCCCTCCCCAAATCTTTGTTCACGAAGCCCAGCCATGACTTGGTTACACGTTCTGCTGAGTTCCTTTCAGTTTAAACTGCAATGCAACACCAAAAACATCTTGCAAACTTTTCACCAACTCTTTGTTTTGAAAATACTGCTTTTAGTCTCAGGCTGCGCCAGGGTAGGTTTAGGTTGGACATTAGGAGGAATTTCTTCACACAAAGGGTGATCAGACACTGGAACAAGCTGCCCAGGGCAGTGGTGGAGTCCCCATCGCTGGAGGTGTTTCAGGAAAGGCTGGACGTGGCACTCAGTGCCCTGCTCTGGCTGACATGGCGATGTTCAGTCATGGGTTGGACTTGATGATCTCAGAGGTCTTTTCCGATTAATTCATTCTGTGATTCTAACGGGGTGCCAGCTACTGACACTTGAATTCATTTGGGAGGGTGGGGTGTGTCTCCCTTTCACAGTTATGATGGTGCTCAGGGTTAAGTAACCAGTAACCCTCCTACTAACTGTAGCTTAGAACTCAATATGAGTGAAGTTGTGAGGCAAATGACAATCTTTTGTCTTTACAATAAAGTTAACACAAAAGCAAAAGACTGTGGGCTCTTACTGGCACTGGAAAATGAAGGACCTTAAACTAAAGAAGCAAAGAACAGATACTTCCAGATGGCAAGGAATCATCTGCATGATTTAGGATCAACAAAGAGAAACCTAAACAAAAATAATTTATTTTTATTTTCCCAGGATGATTCAACTGTTTTTCTCCTGCTCTGCCAGCTTCAAAAGAAATACCTCTGGGCAAAGCAGAAGGGGAACACAGCGCTGTTAATGAAGCTTAACAAAAAGACTAGTAGATGACAAATTTTCCTGTCACATTCTGCCAGGCAGCCAGTCATTCTCTCATCTGAGAGCAGTGTGCTGAGATCAAGACTGGCAAGGTCTCTGCTAGTGGGAGATCCTGCAAATGCCCTCAGCATCGGAGAGGGCTGACTGCCAGTGCTCATAACTTCTAATGACAACTGCAGAATAAGGAAAAATCCTAGGAGAGGTTCTGGGCTGGAAAATGTACTGGGTCTGAGGGTACTCTGCAGTTCAAAAAGCACAAAGTTCTAGGCTGCACATGACCATTTTATAAAAACAGCAGTGTTGTTATGATTTCAGATGACTCACAAACAAGTGCTTAGATTTGCTTTATATTGCTGCATAAACACAGAGTCAAGTGAGCAACCCTTTCCAGCTCATTTCCAGTTCCGATCCAGCGTGGGGTACAAGTGATTACCCAACTGGTTCAGTAGCTCCAAAGCTGATGACAAAGAAACTAATAGTTTAGACTGAACAAACTCATCCATGTGAAGATGTAACTCCTCCCAGGGCCCACAGATCACTTGCATCTCAAGGCCAGTGCTGCAGCTTTTCTAAATCTGGTTCACTACATCTGGCTTACAGAAGTGAAGAATTAGAAGCCACGTTCCTCTTCCAAGAAATCCATACCTACACGCACAGACACACAGGGTGAAGCTCAAAGGCTGGAAGCTGAGCCAACCTAACCACTGAAGAGCAGTTTAGGCAGGTGCAAACAAATTCACCACCCTGCACAAGCCCTTGTGACATCTACAGGGATGTTTGCAGAGTCCATGAAGTACCAACCCAGCGCTCTGCAATCACCACGCACCCTCAACAGTCACACTACTGGAACTCAGCTGTCCAAACACTAAAATAGATTGCAAGCAGCAATAAGATATTTGATTCTGCATGGATTCCCATTACCTCTAAAGCAGTATTTGAAAACAGAAGTCTTGGGGAGGAGGGCATTAATTGCCAGCAGCACAGCAATTCCTGTACCTGTGGGATATCAGTGAAGCACTGGTTCTTTGGTTCTCTATCACAAGGCAATTATGCCCCACACTTTTGTTTTGAAGCATACCTCTGAATCTAGTAAATTACTGGGCTTAACACAGAACACATTACCCACACACCATTTTTCATACAGAAATTTTACATTCATTTAATGAGCTCAAGTCCATTTTCAGGCATTCTAAAGTTTATGAAGTCCTTCTCCATGATTTCTCTCCGGTTGTCCTAAACTCTGAAAGACTCACAGTGCTCAGGTCTCACTGACTCAGCATTTCCCCAGAATTCAGGGATAACTGAACACAGCCCTTATTGTTGATGCATTCTCTACTTGCTAGTGTGTCATAGATGTAAAAACACAAAAAAACCCTACTGGTTCCACCCAAAAGTTACTAAATGAATAAATATTTACCTGCACTTTAAACAGAGAAATAAAACAGTAAATCTGCATCCTGGTTCTGCCAAGATCTTATTACAATTAGTTAGTTACTTGAAACATTATTAGTGGGACTACTCATGATTTCTGTTTCTTGCGATCTCTTCTGTGTAGCCTGTTTTCTTCACTACTTTCATATGCTGATGTTTCACTTCCTATTTATGTTCTGTTAAATGCCTAATATGGTCTATGAAAATTTACTTCTATTTAGTTCCCAAATTCTGCTTTTTGTTGTGCTCATATTTAAAGTCATATAAATGAGAACACAGTAGTAGAGTCAGAAAGTAAAACCAAACAATTTTTCAGTAATTAATTATTATGAGCCATCTTGTGAAGCAACTGCCCACTCTACTCCAGGTGTCACTTGAAAGGCTTCATTCTTTATGATTAAAATAAACTCCAAAGTGTGGGTTGCAAGAGACCATGAACCCAACACAATAGTGTCTATCTAAATTTATTTCAAAGACATGCTGCTGCAGTCCAACTTGCTGTTTGATTCCAAATATTACCACACGATAAATATCAACAGTATTCCATCACTAACATCATGTACACAGTAAATACTATCTGAAACTAAAAGTAATCACTAAGGATATTTCTTGTGCTGAAGAAGGAAAAATTCAAGCATCTAACAAATGCAGTTTACCTCCAGCTATATCCAACACTCAAAAGCAAATCTATTAAGCTCTTTCTTATAACTGTGCATTTTAATTTGGTCTTGCTCCCCACTCCCCATTCTTTCAGGTAGTAAGACTCCATATAAAAAAAAAATTTAAATATCAAGCATAATTTCAGCATCACAACTCATAACACTACATAATTGAAGAACCCCAAATTTGCACAAATCCCAGGCTAGAAGCAGGAGAGAGCTTGATTTAAAAAAAAAAAAAAAAAGCAAACCACAACCAAAAGACAAGTCTCCTCTCATAAAACCAACAGTTCAAATCTGAATCCATAAGTCAGATTTAAACAGTATTCACATATTTTACACTGCTTTTAGACAGAGCACCTAAAATTACAGAACACTTGATGTAAAAACAAGCCAACCAATCCAAAACCTTCTATTTTCATCAGCTGCAATGCTCAGCACAGTGACTGAGACTATATGGCATTTTTTGGCTTCCTTCATTAATGACAGGGTTTCAGTGCATTAACTACCTGCTTGTTTTACAGGCTTATTTCTGACAGAAGTCAAAGATTTTGTGGTGTCAGGAACACCACAGTGAGAAATCCACTTCCATGTTCTGAGGAAGAGCAGAGCCTTAGCAGTGCCAAGGCTGTAATTTGCTCTAAGGCTCGTGCAGGGCATTGCCACATTTATTCACATCAGAGAATTCCACACAAAGAAGGGACACTGTGACCCTGTGTGAGAGCAGCACTGGCAGAGCACAGAAATCCTTTGGGAATAGGCCTCTTCCATAAAGACAGCAATCTGCTTGGCAGGTCTCTAACACAGGGGAATGACTTCCTACCTCTAGCACCATAGATGCTGCAGTGAATAGGAGTGCTCTAACCAGATCAAGAATAAATCTATATCCAATAGGATCAAATTGCAAAGCAATCCCTGGCACTGAGATGAACCGTGAAAAGCAAGATGGAAAGAATAAAATGCAACCCCTCTTAATTG